TATGTCTGACATACTGGGATTTTCATCGCAGGCGTGACAAAAATGGCAGTACAAAATTATTAAAAACACTTTATTGTGGCGTAACACAAAATTGGTCTGCAAAAAGGGGGGGAGGGGGGGGGGGGGGGGGGGATGATCGTGTCGAGTCTGTTATCTTGTTAATAAAAATATCATTTAATATAACGCTTAATTGATTGAAAAACATGTATAGGTAAATCAAAGTTTTCTTTTTCTGCACAGATTGTTAAATTATTGAATTTCAGAAAAGCAATAAGAGAGGGACGAAAGATACCAAAGGGACAGTCATAGATCGAAAAACAAACTGACAACGCCATGGCCAAAAAAAGACTAACAGACAAATAATAGTACAGATGACACATCATAGAAAACTAAAGATTAAGCAACACGAACCCCACCAAAAACTGGGGGTGATCTCAGGTGCTCCGGAAGGGTAAGCAGATCCTGCTCCACATGTGGCACCCGTCGTGCTGCTTATGTTATTACAAATCCGGTAAATAGTCTAATTCGGTAGGTCACATTCGTGAAAAGGGAAGGATATTGTAGTTACGACATAAGGAACATATACGATATCATCTGTTAATCCATGTCTCTGACGTCAGTCTATTGTTCTTACTGTAGATTATTTTTCAAGAATCCACTGACCACCGTATTAACTTAATAGAACTTATTCTATAACTTTAAACTTTTAACTTAAAATCTTTTATCCTCTTAAAAACGAGTGGCATGTGTAGGATTCGAACCTGCGCGTATTTTCTTCATAATCAATAGAGTCTTCAGTCTATGCATGATACAACTAGACCACGATGACTGACATCAATCATTATATGAATAGTACTCTTAAAGCGCTTAATTGTAAAAACATGTCATTTAACTGTATTTCTTTCTCATTGATAATTCGCTTTTGTAATCTAATGAAATATATATATATCTTGGTTTGTTCATGTTCATTGGATTTGTTTTATTTTGGGTGTTATTTTCTTTTTTTTAAGAAATGGATTAAGGAAGTTCGCTACTCAGTTTCAAAAACACTAGTATATATTGATAGGGGATTAATAAAGAAACAAAAACAGCAAAAATAAAATATAGGTCATTGTGCTTGTTATCGAGATATTAGCCATTGAAATTTTGGCGGGAAGATATTTTCTCTTGATTTTTCATAGCTTTATCATTGACAAGTTAAAGTTCTCAAAAACTATCAAAAAATAATTAAGATTTTATGAGACTTTTACAGATGGCTTATAATTATGCATGTAAAACATTTTTAAAAAAAAAAATAGGGGTCAATGGGCAAAATTTTTTAAGGCATTCAAATACATAAAACCAGAGGATTCCGAAAATCTGACAAAAATTCCAAAACATGACAAGCGAATTTCCTTAAAACTTCTTCTTTGACAGTAAAAACAGAAACAAAATAATCGCCATTGTATGAAAATGGAATATATAACACTTCTACATGTTCTAGGATTAAAACAATATTTTGGTCCAGAAAAAAATTACAATGAAAACATTTCATTCCGGATACAAGGGTCGAACTTTGCACTGTTAATATCACCGTTATGACATTCGTTACCAACGACTAGACGATCACGGCTATGAACAGCTTGATGGTAAGTTTATGAAATTAACATAATTATTCAATGTACATCCGTAGCAAGAGCAATTCTGATGGGGATTCAGATAAACATGTGATTACATTTTTTTATCTTTTCAAAACAAGATAAATAAATTCTGTATATTAATATATGTCTTTTTGAATGAATTAAATATACCAAAATCTATTCAATTTAAATAATTTGTAATGATTAAACATTAAATGAAATATGTTTATACAAAAATAAAAACTGGTGTTAAAAAGGGGAGCTATAACACCCCATTTAAGTTATCTTAAAATTATGTTAACTTGTCAAATGTCTAAATATAGATGCGAACTGTGTGGATATAATCATCTTCAGCTATTATAGAATAAAAAAGATAAAATACGAAACTATTTTTATGAAATATCGTTGATTCAGTGTCAAAACATAAAACAGACAGTCGTTTTACTAGAAATGGGTTAAGCTAGAGAATTGATAAGAAGTAGTGGATTCGGAAACGATAATCAACTTGCGACTATAAGTCGTTTACGAATCCACTACTTCTTATCAATTCTCTTCTTCTGAAACGGTTATTCCATAACGGTCAACCAACTCGTGATGGCGTCCGTAAAATTTACGAAGAGATAATTTCAACTTCACCATTTGGAACTCTTGGTTTAATAGCTTGCGTGTGAGCAGCAATCCTCTATCAAGGAAATCATGATAGGAAATAAAAGCCCGGGACTGTCGTATCTATTGGAAGATATATACTCCGTATGCAGGCGCTGCTGGAATGTTGCTACATAGAATTGGGAAGCTGAAATCAACTATTTTGTCGTAAAGTTTTGTTTTCAACCGACCCTCATTGTCAATTTCTAGATGTAAGTCAAGATATGAGGCAGACTTAACTGTATATGGAGTATCATTTATCATCTAGTTCGATGGGATAGATTCGTTCAACATAGTCACCAAATTTTGTTTTATTTAGTGAGAGAACATCATCTATATAGCGGAACGTAAAGTTAAAGGATATTGCTAACTTCTTATCTTTCTTCCTAAGAAGTTCCTGTATGAAGTCAGCCTCATAATAATAAAGAAACAAGTCGGCAAGAAGAGGGCACAATTGATTCCTATTGGAATTCCGACAGTCTGTTGAAAAACACGTCCTTCAAACGTAACAAATATGTTGTCAATCAAGAAATCAAGCATCTTGATAATGTCAGTTTCAGAGAATTTGTTGTTTGAATCAGAGTGATTCTTTACAAAGTAGGATTTATCCCTCCCCAAGACAAGATACTTGTATCTACGTTCGCCATTCTTTGTAATGAAACAAAGTAATACCAGCTCTTTCAATTTGTCTTTTAGTTTGGAATGGGGAATACTTGTGTAAAGTGTAGAAAAAGTCAAATGTTTTAACACTATTGCAAGATGAGAGAGTCTTAGATTGTATGTACTCTAAAAGATCTTTGGAATTTTTTAGTATCCACATCTGATTCACGCCACCTCTAGAATAGGCAGTTTCACAATAACTTTGGAGCCCGGCTTTGATTGCTGATAAAATAGATGTTAATAATTTAGAAAGAGGTTTCGTGGAGCACTTGGAAGACCCAGAAATATACCGTTGTTTGTAAGGACACTTATGCAGTTTAGGTATCCACTACAGTGATGAAAGATCCAGTTCTTCATCTTTGGTTGAAATTCCAAAGGAAGATAGAACAGACCTATAATTATCTAGGATTTCCTCTTTGGTAAGTGTCGTGAGGGTATATGTTGAGTTTCCAAATGAATTGTCAATACCTAATTCATTTATCAAGCAGTTTATGTAATGATATTTACACACAAAAACTATGTTGTTTGGGGCTTTATCTGCAGAGACAACAACATATTTGTCATGGAGGAAGGACAAGTGTTTTGCAACATTTGGGTCTTTAGAAATTGACGTAGCGTGGATATTGATAGACCCATTTAGTTCCTTAATTCGGATTAGTATCAACGACCTCACAGCCTTAATTCGTTCGGAAAGAGTATCTACGTCTTCTCTCTCGCGTTTAGCCCATTGCCTGGCATAATCCTCGACTGAATCCATCAGTATTTTGTAGTTGTATTTCCAATTGATGAATTTAGACTCACGATATTTCGGACCTTTGGATAACAAATTTCGCAGGGAAGTGTTATTGACAATGTTGAGGTCTCCGGTAATAACGTGGCCAGCCGGATTATATGTGAATTGGAAACTAGCACAGGTGCAATCAGGAGGTTTAGACTTGAAGTCGTCAATGTTGAGATCCTGCAAAACGTGTTTGTTATTGAAAATTTAAATTTGCAATTGGTTTGGTATAGGTACTAGTATAAGAAATTATTGGTACAGGCTGATCTTTAATATAAGGAGGTATTTTCGACTGAACTAATTTATGATGAAGGATATTGCCTAAATTGACGCCATCGAGACCTTTGTTGGCAAAGGAAAGTTTAAGAAAAGATCTTTTTTCTTTTTCATCTTTTCCAATGCGAAGTGGTTTGAAAAGTCTGTGACTTGCAATATCCGAAATGATAGTTGTAAGTTTGTATTGGTTTGAATGAGGGATTGTAACAGTGGTTTCCAAACATAAATTGAACAGAGAATGAAGTTTTAAAAGGGGTAATGAATGAAGTTTCGTGCGAATGTGATGAATACCTAACGGCTTTTGTATAAAAGATACTGATATATAAAGTCATTTGCAATTTTAATTCAAAGTAAATGCAGCATGGAAAATATGTCATATGAGATAGATGGTGACCAGAACTACTTTAAGATACATCTCTTAACAATGTTAGACAATATGATTCTATTTTACTCAACGGTAAAAAAAACCCCGGTAAACTAGTCTTAATGGATACCCCATATCCTTTGTTTTTCTATTAATGACAGTTAAGTCAAAGATACTGAAATGCAAAGCAAATCCAAAGCTAATGAAGAGGGAACTGTAACATAGTCCCCAAAATGCTACACTACTTATTGTTATTGATTTCGGCGGGTATTAGTGAACCGCAAATTCTATGTGTTCAGTGAAATAAAAAATAGAAAAAGGTTTTAATTCAAAATATTCTAAAACAAATATCCATGAAAACTGGTATCCACAAAAATACTGAATCTACATTTCATAGAAAAATATTACTAGCAAACATTTGTGTCACATTTTAAACAGTAATGAAAAAATTAAATTAATTTCTGAATATACAATGCATTGATGCTGATGCTAATATTTGTATGAATTATTGAAGCTTTATGGTAAATACTTATATTAAAATGGACTTTACTAGAAAAATATATGTAACAACAATGACAATGATGATGATGTCAATCAAACTGGTTGCTCTTGCAACATTGATTGCAGGTGACACAATAAAATGTGAAAACAATCTTACCGATGCTGTGTGCCTTTTCGTTGGTTCTTTTCTACCCACTGGAAAGCCAGTGTCGGCCTCCCACACAATCATGTAACCATCTTCAGATCCTATAGCTACATAGAGTCTATTTTCACTTTGTTCGACTGCTAGACTTGTACCTTCACATGATGTGCTCAAGTGATCTCGTCTATACATAAATCCAAGTTTTACTCCTTTTGTTACTCTCTGATCACATTTGCCAGTAGGTATATCCCAAAACACAACCCGAAGATGAGTTGTGACCATCATGACATTTCCTTGATAGGGGCAGACAACTTCTCCTAGATGTGGAATATTTGTTAGAATTCGATTACACGGCATTAGTCCTCCGGTAGCTTGTGTTTTGTCTATAGCATAAAACCTGTGTCTATGAGACTGTGGTAAAAATCCTCCACCTTGTTTACGGCATGAAGTTTGGATATCGGCATATTCTTTTTCAAGAATTTTAACTCTTACTATTAGATAGCGTTCTGATTTACTTATGGACAGATCAATACTTTCATAAGCCAGCTTCTGCTTCAACAGAAAGGAAGTTTTGGGCTTGAGAAGAACGATATCTATTATTTCAACAAAATGATTGTTTTCACCAGTTTTCAGGAGATATAATGTCTTATGGTTTTCTCCCTGACAAAAACTTAGAACATTTCTAGCTCTCATGCTCATTTTCTCCAATCCTTTTTCGAAATCAAGCCCTTTTAATAAATGAACTTGATTGTCTAAAACAATACACATTGAATTAATTGTTGCTGATACTTTGTGACCAGTGATTCCAATGTAGATTTTTTTTTGTAGTTGAACACTATCCAATGACCAGATCCTCAAATGTTTGTCTTCTGAAGTGGTTATAATGCATTGTCCTTTAAAGTCAACTTCAAAACCAATGATATCCTTCTGTGCCATCAATTCTGAACCCTCTCCATTGGCCTCTGTTTTAGATGATTGATTACCATAAGTATTTAGAAATGTTGTTAGCTCCCAAACTTTTGCTGTATTCTTTTTGCTTACTGTAACAACTTGATCTTCAAGAACTGCCACTTTCACGATTTCATTATTTTCAGCCTTGAAATCCCCAAAGTGTTTCCCTGTCTGTGCTTTGTACATAATTATCTGCCCTTGGTTGTCACCTATGAAGACTAAATCGTTTATCCAGCTCACTCCAAAGCTTGTTATAGTATTATCTATATTCAATTGTTGGACAACCTCCCCATTAGAAATGTCGTAAACAGCTACAAAGCCTTGTTCCAGCCAAATGGCTGCCAGTGCATGGGAATGTGCCACAGATAACTGCATTAATTTAGAAGAGCAGTACTCGAGGATAGTTATCTTGACCTCATCTAGGTTAACAACTGTCAAAGTTCCATCTGTTTCTCTATTACTACTTACTACAAGCAGGTTCTCATTAAAACCAACTGCAGCAAGGCCTCTGGTAAAAGGATGATAAGTTTTCACCATTTTTCCATTTTCTGCAGCACCAACAACATGGATTCTAACAACTCCATCTTTTTCATTTTCCTTTTCACTTACAACAGTATTAATAGTGAAAATAATCTTTAAATTGTCAATACTTGTAGTAATAATGTTAGAAACATCACTTGCTTCTTCTCCCAATGTGATGAAGTCAACTTTCTTGAAGCTGTTTGTATCCAATATTAGAACATCACCATTGCTAAATAAAATTGTCAAATGTAAGAAATCGGTACTTAGACAACTCATTGTAGGATACATCGATTTCCCTAGATCTTCAAACATATCGGAAAACCTCTTCATGTTTGTAACTTGATTGTGTAAATGGAATATCTGAAAGCTGTCTCTGCCTAAGTTTATAACTCTTTTCTCAGAATGATCCAATATGGGTGGCATTATTGCATTGAATTCCTTGTTGTGGCTTAATTGGTAAACATCATTATTAATGGAATCATAAACTAAGTACCCTTTTTCATCACCATCTCCCTCTTTCACATTTGTCATCAAAACTGATTCTGAACCACTTGAAATGATATCATCAACATCATCATAAATCTTCAAAAGATCTGAAGAAGCATCTTTTCTTGGTGCCAGACATGGAAATACTGGTATAAGTAAGGGAGACTCACTAGAGTAGACTGTATCTTCAGCTTGCTGGAGTAATTCCTTTAGATATTTCTGACTCTCGTCTACATGTAAATGCGAAAGTAAATTGATTGAAAGGTTTGTTCCACTGCCATTTCCTGATTTCCCTGAGACAAGGAAGTAATTTCTTAATAGGGCCACCTCTTCATCGTCTGTTTTGTCCAAATATGCTGTCATGTCATCCACCCAGGTTGATAATGGCAATGATTGTATTCTCACTGTCAAAAATTTCAAATTACAAAAGCATTTTGACTTGGCAATGGAAGGATCTATCTGATTTCCTGCATGGGTAATGTGATATGGAACAGCTAACAGTTTTCGTTGATTCTTCACAACAAGTGGTTGTTTTGTGACTTGTCTATCTGCTTTCTCCACTGTCCGTTTTCGTCTGTGAAGGGTTATGTCCCTTTGTATACCATCATTGGCAATGAAATATTGTGCCAATACCTTGTGTAATTTTTTGCCTGCACTACCAGTTGCATATCTTCCATGAGCTGTCTCAATGAACTGCCTATGATACCAATTCAATGTTGTTTTACCAAATGATCTTCTCTCAACAATATATTCTCTAAGATCATGTCTTATCCTTGCTACAAGTACTGGTGGCATTTGTACAATGCCAGGCACTGGGGGATCATGATAGCGGTATATATCATCTAATACTTCATCATCACAGGATAACACATCCTCCCATTCAAGATCAGAAATTCCATTGTAAGCAACTGTAATGTAACCTAGAGCATGGCTTATTAGAACTTGCCCAAATTTCTTTTCCATGTTTTCAAACAGCAGATTTATGGCTCCTTGTACTGAATCTTTCAAATTTAGAGCAATAATTGGTGTGTATGAGTTCCAGTTAACAGCCTCATCGAGGATTAGTTTTAGAAACAATGGACCTCGGCATTTTCTGAATGCTCTGACAAGCTTGTTTTTTTGAATTTGTGTGACAGTTCTCTTCTTTTTTGCTAGATATATATCAATCATGTCAAAGCATGTATCATCTGGTAAAGCTGGAACTTCTACAAAGTTGGTGGTATCTGGAAACAGTTTCTTTAATGTGTCCAAAATTTCATGTTCTCCAGGTACTGTTGATACAATCATCCTCAAGTTTGATGGGAGCACTGCAGGCAGCCAATTTAACAAGTAGGAATCATCTTTTGCTGTAAGCTGATCTAGAGAGTCCAAAAGAATAACAATTGGCTTTTTCACCTTCGCTGACACACGACGTAAGAGTCTTGGCATATATTCGACTAATTTTTTCATATTTTTGCAACCTACTGGCTCCATCAATAGTTTTGCACAGTCAGCAAGTTGTCCACAAATTCCATATAGTACATCATATATGTTCAAACTATAAGGAGATGTGCCTAAAAATCTAATGATTCCAATGTGAGGCTCCTCTTTAAACCATTCTGGGAGACTCTGCAAAATTTTTGACATAACAGATGTTTTTCCGGCACCTGATGGAGCATATATAATAAGTGGCCTTCTGGACTTGTCCATGAGTATATATTCTTTTGATTGTTGTAATACATCATCTCTACCACAGAAAGTCTCGCATTTAAGTTTACAAAAGTGCTGATGGTGAAGTACTTCTTGATAGTCTGTGTAATATTCTGTTCTTATCAGACCTTTTTGGTCTTCTCTGGCCTTATCAATAAGTTCACAAATGTCCTTGATAAGATCGGCACAAAGATGCCTGATATAATCACGTTGCTCCACATGTTTTTCAGGATCAATTCCACCAGTATGCCATTTAACTTGATACTGATGGATTCGGCCAGATTTTTTCAAAGCAGATGGAATTTGTTTTCTTATTTTCTCTCTAAGCAACCTTGCTTCTCCATCAAATACCATCTAAAAGTAGAGTTTTCAGAAATAGTAGAATGTTTTCATGACAAGTTGGAAAATGTTAGAACATCTTAATAAGTATTACTTGAATATTTTCATGACATAGTGCATTTGATGATACTCATTCGGGTTAAAAATTAGGCACACTTTATTTGTCTTTGAAACTTTCAATATCTTAAGAAAAAGAAAACACATTACACGTGAAATTGATACTAGTATATAAAATTGATAATGGAAATAGGGAAAACGTCAAAGAGACAACAACCCGACCAAAGAGCCGAAAATAGCCCAATGCCAACATGTATGTAGTTTATATATGTAACACTCTCAAAAGTGTCAATTCCCCAAAACGTGTCCGATTCCCCAAAACGTGTCTATTTCGCAAAAACGTGTCCTCAAAATCCCAATTCCCTCAAAAGTGTCCGATTTCATTACCCAAATGTGGCAATTTTTAAAAAAAAACAACAACGTCTCAAAACTTTTAGCGCTAATACGTCAATAACATTTACAACAATTCCGGGGATCCATAAAAAAAGACACGATTGTGCATGTTGGGTTTCGGTTGGATTCTAAAAAAGATAACAGTCGTCATCAAAGGACATGAATGATGTTTTTAGGCACTATTACCGGAAATGAAAAAAAGTAACGGAGTTGAAAGAGTAAGACTTATAAGCATTAGTTTATTTAATGCTGGTTGTTTTTATTTCAGTGGCAAATATTTCATGCATATTTTGAGCGAACATGAAAGTTGTAATTGATTGGTTTTATACAGTTAAATCTATCGTTTACTAAGCGATTTCTTTTGTGTTATAGACTCCGGTGATGTCTTATTACATGCACGAATTATTTTTATCAGTTTCTTTTTTATTATGTGGCAATTGTTTGGGTTTTAGCATTACTAAATAGCCATTGATAATAAAAATACAATTATATGTACTAGTATAAGCATCCTTGGTACCACACCTTATAATTTATAATCGTTCATTACTTACTATCATTAATGAAATAAATGATTTGTGAAAGATGTATTCATCGACTTACTGAAAATAATTGATTGATTCATTGTTGGTTGCTTAAAATTCAGTGGCAAATATTTCATGCATATTCAGGACGAGAACATATTTAAAGTAAAAACAACAGATACATGTAGGACTATAATAAAGACACTCTCCGTAAACGAGGCTTTGGATTTTACGTCCCCAATATCACCGGACGTGGCTGCGTACTTTTACATCCAAACGGACGCCCGACAGATGGCAGGGTTTAACTGTCAGTTTGAAGAAGGCCTAGTTGACCGAATTCTATTCTCCAGTCACACTTCGATGAAGGATAATAGACACGTTTGGGGGAATGGGTACGATTTGTCGCTCTTTAGCACCTGGACAAGTTTTGCAGTTCAGTGACGTCAAAAGGACACGTGTGGATGAAGGGGACACGCTTGGAGGAGGGAAGGGGATTAACACGTTTCTGAGAGTTACATATTTAACAGATATTTGATTAGTCTATATTACCTTTCTGGCAATATAGGAACAAGAATATGAAGTTTGTATGCAGAAATAGTATAAGTCAGTTGTTATTTATAACAAACAGTCTAATTTTTTTTTTCTTAAATTACAACTTACAATGTTTATAAACAGTTTTTAATTTAAGTTTTGTTATTAGGAAAAAGATGGTTACAATTTTACAATTCTAGTTGCTTGGAGATCTAATCATTTTCTGTTTTGACTATATAGATGTAGTTGCCAATATCTTTTTATTATCACCGCCTTTGTGGTCTCACGGTAGCGTATTTTCCTCGAGTAAGAGAGGTCTTGGTTTCGATTTTAAATTGGTATTTGCCATTTCTCCGCTGAGCATGTAGCATTAAGGAGTTAGAGCAAAGACTGGTCGGCTCGGAGTCAGAATAATTTGTCCGGGTAACTTGATATGTCTTCCTGTGGACTGTTACCTTGTGAACTAGTACGTTCAAAATACGGCTCTGCATATCGGTCTAGTACAAATCAGGGTTAATATTCATATTACATTAACATGTTATCGTCCTGAATATGCAAATCAATATGCCACTTGACGTTAAGCAGCCATCCATCACCATTATCATCATCTTTTATTATCACCTATTATCCTACAAAAGAATTGACAGGTGTTTCAATAGTATAAGTACCTTTCCATTTTCCATTGTAGTGTCACAGTATTTTTTAATTGTATCATCTGTGATATCCAAGCCATGTAAGTCTCTCTGATAGGTACTGGTATGAAGATTGGGTTCTTTGGAATTCAAAATGCCTTTATTGACTTCAATCTCAGTCACTGAAATATACATTTATGAAATAAACTAGATACCATTGAGATGGGAGCCATCTATGTGGGCCCCGCTGTGAATAATGTGTGGTAAAAAAATTGTATCTTTATCATTGCACATGGGGTTGTCAACTTAAACCAAAGTTTTTGACCTTGACCTTTCACCTAGGAAATTGTACATAAATTATGACACACCCTCTGGTGTTGGTTTATATACATGTCAAGTATAAATTTTGAATCATAACGGTTCTCAAGATATAGAGCGGACACGATCTTTACCATAGGACATGGGGTTGTCAACTAAAACCAAAGTTTTTGACCTTGACCTTTGACCTAGGAAGTTGTACATACCTTTTGACACACCCTCTGGTGTTGGTTAATATACAGGTCAAGTATAAACTTTGAAAACATAACGGTTCTCTAAATATAGAGCCGACACAATTTGTTACGGACGGACGGACGGACAGACTGATCACTATAGAGCGTCCACCATTCGGCGGGGCCCTAATAATAATGGGTTACACAGAACCCTGAGTTTAATCTGCAACTTCTGAGTCCTTTTATTATATAAATACAGCAAAACATAAAACGACTGACAAATGCATGAATTTAAGAAGATTTGGGTTGTAACAGACTAGAATTTTATGCAAAATTTTCGGAACGATCATCATTATTCCTGCTAAATAAAGGCAACAGTAGTATACCGGTGTTCAAAAGTCATAAATCGATTAAAGGAAAACAAATCCGGGTTACAAACTTAAACCGAGGGAAACATATCAACTATAAGAGGAAAACAAAGGAACAACAGTACCACTGAAGTGCAACCAAAACAAACGCCCTTAGCACTGCTGGTTCAATAACTTTTTTGCAATATGAATTAAAGGAGATGCAAAGTCCACTTAAATGCAAAAGCAACCCTAATAACACAGAACAAATAATCTAGAGGTCTAAAAAAAAGTCTTCATCAATGGACAGATGTCTATACAGTATGTAAACCTCTTAATTAGTCAGTGTTTAGAAAAGTTACATTATATGCAATGTTTCATAGTTAAGTTAGAATAAAGTATTCTCTAATTCTTCGTCAATTTATCCCTTTCTGCACCCATTGTATAAAAAAAGATTTAATCAACGTGTGGTTCGTTTGATCTCAGTTCTTCATTGGTTAAAATCCGATTATGACGTAGGATTTTCTTGCTTTCCTCTGAATTTCCTATTGTGACGGCATGAAAAAAGGCGACCATGCCTGATGACGTCACATAGAAAGAACACATCTTTTTGCAGATCATTCAAAAAGAAGGAAGAAGTTTGCCTGCATATTGTTTGAAAATCATTAGAGAAAGAGATTCCACCACCAAATCTCGTGTAATACGATATTTATCCACTCTCGACAGTTAAATTTTAAATATTTAAAACGCTCGGCGAGCCTCGCGTTTTAAATTTGAAAATTTAACTGTCTCGAGTGGATAAATATCGTATCACACTCGATGCAGTGGTAGAATCTATATTTATCTAATTTTTATCTCATTCTGTAATATTCCTATTTAGACCTATGTAATGCCTTCAAGCAAATAATAAACCATAAATGCTTTTCACAAATGCATTTTAAAATTGGTTTTTATTATGTAGACTTTTATCTTTATATACTTTTGAAATATACATTAGGGCTGTTCAAGGATTAAACATATGGAGGGCATGGGGGAGTGGTGAAAGTACTTCTTGAAGGCATACAAGAAACATTTAAATGTACTTACAATTCTTACAAAATTTGAAGGAAAATAAAATGACCCATATCTAATAATTTTATTGCCTCCAATCCTCCCCACTCAATCAAATATTGATCAGACCTAAAAACAATATAGATACTACATTTTTTATGAATGCATGGTAATTCTATATTCTGAAATTATTTAATCGGAGTTTTTTTTTCTAAAAGGATTATAACCTGAATAAAAATATTTGTGAAGTTTGTCCTTGCTGAATTGTTTCGATTTACAGGCTAATGTTGCTGCTTTCCTTAGAACTGTCTGTAGAGATTTAAAGGTTTCCGCCCAACCCATTGCATCTTTAGCTCTTTGTTCTTCACATCCAGAAGTGTAATCTCCAAAGAATGTAAACTGTGATCTGATTGGCTGAAAGAATTAAGATTAAAAACAGTAACAAGGTTATAGCAGAGTAAGAATAAATAATACCTATTAAGTCATTCACTGTCTTTGAAAGGTGCTAAATAGTCAGCATGAAATAAATCAACCCCTCAAGAGTCTCCAATCATAAACTGGTCACTTTTACAAATAATTTTGTTTGTCTTTATATAGCTTCAAAGAGAGAAACTTGAATATCAGTTTTTTTTAAATCAAGACCAGCTTGTTGCTGCGCATGTTTTTCTTCTATCAAACATTAAAAAAGAACATTAACACTAGACCCCTATGAATGATATTTGATTTATCATACATATAAATATATATCAATAGTCATTATTACATCAATAGATATTTTGTTTCTATTTTAGAAGATAAAATGAAGTTGACTTGATAAGTTCAAATCAAAATTATCAACCTCAGTTCATAAAGTATATCACTTGATATCAGTGCTACGGTTCAGGACAAAGTTTTTACCAGCAAGCAAACCAAATTTGAAACTGTAACGTGAAATTTTGTTAAACGCTGAGGATACTTATAAATACATTTGGAAGCACAATACCAAAATCAACAATACCTGTAAAATGTACAGTGGTGGTTTAGCATTTTCATCTAATAAATACCAAATATCCAATAGTTTGGTATCAGATAAAGAGTTTTTCTCGGCAAGTTTCTTTATGGTATCAAATTCTTCCTTATCAATTTCTACTGGGATTGGTCTAAATCCATATCTGTCACCTGATATAAACTAAAGTATAATAAAAAAAAAGCGTACAAACAATGAAATTTAAAATACATTTTACATGTCTCAAAGTTTATAATAAATCAGTAGTGATATTTTAACTATGAAAATAGGTTTATAAAGACCAATTCCGTTTTTACATATAACTGTACAGTTAAATTGTTGAGCTAAGTAAAACTTTGTCATTTCTATTTTTCTCTTAACAATATCTAAAACAAATGTTTACAAAGAAAGTGGAAGACAAAGTTCATGATTATCTGTCTGTTAGATTGAATGTCAGATTTGCATATAATTTCTTGCATTTCAATAGCTTTTTATTCTGCTTCATACTTAAGGTATCCTGGATCCTATCTTAATCATATCTCTGTTTTCAAAAAGGAGTTACTTCCCCTCTCCTGATATCATAAATACGCAAGTCACCATTCCAGTTGCCAAAATTTAGAAATGTTATATATTTTTTGTTTAATAATGTGTTGATAAAATGCCATTATTGAGTTGTGTGTTGCTTAAATTGTTACTTTTGTTATTGATGAATTGTAAAGTAATTATCTCCCTTTCTGTCATTATACAGTACATTTCTTAAAAGAAATACTGCTATAATATAAAAAAGTAAATCCATAAATAAAAGTGCAACGCTAATGAAATGAAAAATATGGTCATAAACATCAAGTGGTAAAGGTCCAAGCTCATTCATTGCAAAGAAGAACGGAAAAAAAACCGTCCATTGTTTAATTATGCAGAAATGTGATCGACTTCGTCCATATTGAGACATTTTCTCAGCTTGGATCCACTGACGTCATCACGATCACGTGACCGATATCTAATTAAAAATCAAAGATTACGACAAGCGCTGGATTATTTGACCATAAAAAGGCCGTTTAATGAGGTTTTGACAAGAAAAATTTATTAAAATATGTTTTTTGACCAATATAAATTAATTAATTAAAAAAAAAAAAAAAAAAAAATGTGTCACGTCTCCTTTAAAGGCAATGCAACCACCCATATTCAGTTAATTTGAGTATCTACCATCCCCCAACCCGATAAATTTTGGAAGAGCTTTTAGTTCATTAGAGTGAATACATTTTGAAACTTTAGTAGTATACTAGTAGTTTTGATTGGATGTCTTTCAACTTACAATGAAATTAGGTCCTAAAGAAAGGTTCTGACAATTTTCCACCTCTAGCAAACAAATTTTTTCCACAGAATGCTCATTTTGGCTATCATCTGTTACACCCCAGCGCATATCTACAATCTGAAAGTCAAGGTCATATTTGGCACAATACTCCTTCAGGAATGGATTGACATCTCTGACGATGGCATTTCTTTCAGCTCTCATATCTGAATAATAAATATAAAAATATAACCCAAACCAAAAGAAAAGGATTTTTAAAGTCTTAACAGAGCCAGTCTCCTCCCTTTGCTTTTTATTTATATGATTTAAAGAGAAATATAATAAAAATCTGATATATAATTCATATTTTAAATGTGCCTTGTGATTTCAGAGATGATTAATTAATTTACTCTGGCAGTCATTTCCTACATCTGATAGAAAACATGTTCATAGAGACCTCACAGACATTATTCATCCGCTAAGGTCAGACTTACTTAAGAGCAGTTAACAAATAGTTATTGAGATTTTTATGGAATCTTTGGGGTGTCATGCTTTCCATCCAACGTTTTGTAGTGCAAACTCATTCTATTAATTCTCTAACAAGTTCTAACATCCACTACAAAATTTATAGCTAGCTACTGAACACCTTGAGTGAAGAATAAAAACAGTTATGTTATTTATACACACATTATTAATAACCTCTGCTTGCTAAAGGTGGTACCGAACACTACAGGGAGATAACTCTGTAAAATCAGCTAAACGCTTTAATCACGTTGTATTGTTAAGGAAATAATAAGCTTCTCAATGATCAAAATCAGTGTTGGTCAAACTGCTATATATCCAATGAATTTTTCCGAGAAAATGTGTGATTCAAGTTTTTGAAATTTTCATATTGTTGTCAAAGGGTCAAAGTAGAAATACATATCAGAAAATAAGGAAAGTTTATAAATATAATAATAGTTATGGAAGGAGGAAGGTTCGACAAATAATTTATCTATCCCTCATATAATAGCACCTCCTTACATGGGCTACATTAGTGTGATACATACCAGAAAAAGTAGAGCTCATAAATATCCTAACAGTAGAGTGAGGTAAATTAGGTAAATCATCCAAACATCCTTCCAATAACCTCTCAAACTTAGCTTCAGCTTTCTTTATCTGTTCTTCTGTTGTTTTATCTGCAAAAAAATCCATGAAATTTATATTTACCTGTTATTTAGCATTACACTGAAGATGATCACTATTTTTACATAACATAAATATAACACAATTTGAAATTATCTCTTCCTAAAAGGATTGCTTTTCAGAATATTTTTAATCAATCAGTTTTTGGTACACAGTTCTGTAGAAGTGTATCTTCCTTTTTCGGTGCTTAATAAAGGCAACAGTAGTATACCGCTGTTCGAAATTCATAAATCGATTGAGAAAAAAAAAACAAATCCGGGTTACAAACTAAAACTGAGTGGAACACATCAAATATAAGAGGAGAACTACGACACAACAGAAACACAACATTAAAATGTAACACACACAGAGACGAACTATAATATAACAATGGCCATTTTCCTGATTGGTAAAGGACATTTTAAGAAAAAAATGGTGGGTTGAACCTGGTTTTGTGGCTAGCCAAACCTCCCGCTTTTATGGCAATGTTAAATATGACATTAAAATGACAACATTACATGACAGAACTACAATACAAATAAATGGGAGAAAAAAATAGGACAGAGAAACATTACTAAGATAACATTATATTCTAATTGTAACAACACTTTGTATCCTTTAGTTTTAGTTTAAATATATTTTTTACTATATTAAAGCGAAATGGATTAAACACAAGTAAATCAAAATTATGAAGTCTTCTCCATAATACATTTGTGAATATGTACAATAATAATATAATGAGCATGCATGTAAAGCAAATAGTTTATATGATATAATACGAGCTATAGGTAATTAGTTCTTTTTGATAACTGTTTCAAATCAAATATTTTGGATAAAAGTTTGAATTTGAAGGGAACAATGTAAACATTCTGCAAACTTGTATTCGTTATTGACTTCACAAACAAAACTCTACGAAAATGCATTGTCAACGTTATAAACAATGGGATATAAGGTCAGTGACTGTATATATCACAAAGGAATATCTGTTGGATGTTGAATGTGTACTGATAGATATTTTAGTCTTAAAATGCATGATTTTTTCATTAGTTGTTATTCGCTTTGAACTAGCTGTCAGTAACTGCGAGTACTCTCAGATCTGTACTTAATGTCTTTCTGTTGTGTGGATGTATAAGTACCCGTCCACGTCCACTCTGTTTTTTTTTTGTTAGATGTATTTCTATTTGTATCCATCTGATGAGTTAAGCCTTTTTCGACTGATTTTTATAGTTTGTTCTTATGCTGTTCTGTTACACCACTGTCCCAGGTTAGGGAGAGGGTTGGCGCCTTCAAACGAGTTTAACCCCGCCACATTCTGTATGAGACTGTCTTAAGTCAGGAGCCTGTAATTCAGTGGTTGTCGTTTGTTGCTGTGTAACATATTTGTTCATTATTTAGAACATTAATTAAGCCGTTAGTTAAATCGTTTGAATTGTTTTACATTTGTCATTTCGGGGCCTTTTCTAGCTGACTATGTGGTATTGGCTTTACTCATTGTTGAAGGCCGTACGGTGACCTATAGTTGTTAATGTCTGTGTCGTTTGGTCTCTTGTGGAGAGTTGTCTCATTAGCAATCATACACATCTTCTTATTTTTATATGGTCAATGTAATTTGACTGGAAAAAATAGCACATTTATTGTATAATTGTCCATTGTTTATAATGAGATACATTCCATTTCGAAAAAATTTCTATACAGCACAATGCTATCAGAAATATATAGGAACTTACTTTCTTCTTTACTTGTCGTTGGCTGTATATTTCTGCAAAAGATAAATATCTAATCTTTGTTGTGGTAAAATTAAAGTACATAACAAGTTAAACACAATACAATACAGTGCTCCAGCTAGAAATTGAAAGGGGCAGGGTGCTAGTGGAGGGCAGGGCACTTTTTAAGGCTAGGAAAAGGCACTGCTCAATTTTTTTGTTTGGTCTACGTTTCTGTGTGTATCCATCTTGGCTTTTGATCACATGTTCGCATTGATTTTTTTACTGTATATGTTGACAATAAAGATGCATATGTTCTTGTATTGATTGTTTATTCTATAAAATTTTCATTAGATAAGTCATTCATACATTGTCATAATACATGGCAATACACATTCAAACATCACATCTGAATATACAGAGTAAAGACAAGATGTACAGGAAGTCATATCAATGTTGAATGTAGATGACTAAATGTGAGGAAAATTTCTTATATGTGCATGATATTTTAAAGAACTAAGTTTTCGTCTCACAGAAAGTAGAACATCACAGGAACTGAAGTAATGTCATATTATATGGATCTACCAGATGAAGCTTGGTGTCATAAATCACAAAGCTGTAACTGCTTAAATTATACCTTCACACTGATATGACACTATAGTATAAGAAAGAACTAGATATTCTGTCTTGTCATTATAGACTTTTGACTTTGAATACCTTAGAAGTATAATTTTTTGGTGATTTCAGTAGAATTAATTTCAATACACACTCTAAAATGGAATTTGAATGTATGAAATGATGTTTTACAGCCAAATGAAACTTCAAATTTAAAAATAAGTTGAAAATGTTTTATTTATTTGAATGGCCAAGTTTTACTATAAAACACGTGTACGTGAATCTTTTTGAAAAAGAAAATACTTCATATCATCGAAATCTTCATAAATGTATGAGAATTCAGGGAAAGTATAAACAAATACTTTTTTGTTACGTGGTCCATGTGCTCTGCGTTGATTGTTTATAAATTTTATTGTCACGATCCGGTAATGTTATCAATCACTATATGCAATAGTGTTTGTCGATAAAATGTTACAGATTCGTTATAAATATATATTAAAAAAAAAAAACGTGCAGTTTAGAATATATGCATGCATTTGTTCAATAATTTGGATAATATTAAGATTACAAGAAACTCGTTTCATATGACTAATGACAAGGATGAGAACATGTTATTGTGATTTGAATACTCAATCTGCATTTTAAGTGACAGATGAACATACTGAGCCAGATTTAGAAACTATCTCACACGATAATAGTTTGCCAGGAGACATGTAAGCACAACACAACACATTATTTTTACCCTAAACCTCTTAGGTTTTGCATTTACTGCCGAATATAGCATGTGTACTGAAGTATCAACAAATACTAATTTAGTCTTTTAATTTTACAAAATTAGGGATTAGATCTATAACCTCCATCATGCAAGATAAACACCCTATCATGATGAAACAATACTGAGATCTTCACAACTCAGCTCAATATACAGACAATTTCAATTGATATCTTATAGTGTGTCTTTTTATGGTGTAATGTTACAATATTTTCGCAGATTAGGGTGAAGCTTGGTGCCTGTTCAAACGTTTATGCCCGCTGCATTTTATGCATCTGTCTGCAGACAAGAGCCGGGTATTCAATGGAAGTCGTTAGATGGTTTGGTTCATAGTGGTTTCCATTTGTTTTTATTATAATTTGACTAGACCGCTAGTTTTCCAGTTTGATTTATTTCACACCTGTCATTGTGGAACCCTTTAAAGGTTGCTGTTCGGTCTGAACCAAGGCATTATGTTGAAGGAAATACTTGGATCTATGATTATAAACTTTTTATACATTGTGACTTGGATGGAGAGCTGTCTCATTGGCACTCATACCACATCTTCTTAATTGTTGGTGTGGTTCACAGGGGTTTCTCGTTTCTTGTTTTTACATAGATTAGAATGTTGTTTTTTTGTTTGATTTGTTTAACACTAGTGCTTTTTTCTTAATATCTTGCTGTTCGGTGTAAGCCAAGGCTCTGTGTTGAAGGCCGTACTTTGACCTATATTTGGTAACGTTTTAAACATTGCTACTTGGATGGAGAACTGTCTCATTGGCACTCATACCACATCTTCTTATTTATAAGGATTGGATATAAAGTGCGTACACAAGTTTCAGAAAGATGGAAAAGAGTAAAACTATGTTGATTTATTGTTGTTTGCTTTACATCCAGTGACAAATATTTCATGAATGTCCAGGACGAGAACAAATAAATAAGATAATAAGGTTCTGTAACATGAGTCAACTTACATCCAGTCACCCTTAGGTAAGGTAAAGTTATAGAAGCTCGATATCAAAATAATGCAAGAAAAAAAGAATAAAATCGGTGCTTCTTGAATAGGCATGTATGGAATAATATATAATGGGGAAAAGTTGTATCAGACATACTTTGTAACAGGTTTTGCCACTTTCGGTTTTGCTGGCTGTAATTTCTTGACCAACATATTTCTTGTACATGTTTTATCAACTAAGGATGACAGTCGTGTTATACCTAAGACAGATAAAAACACAAATAAATACACATTAGAATTTTAAGTGCAGATTGAATAGTATGTAAATAATAAGATACATGTATGTGATCTTTTTTTATTGTTTATCTACTGATAAATATTTTTAAAATTCATAAATAAAACATTAAAACCCAATTTTTAGAAAGAAAAGGTTATTGATTTCTCTTTTTAATTTTGTCACAACTGTGCCTTTATTTATACCTTCAATTGTGAAAAAAAACATGCGCAACGTAATCAATACTTTATAAGTATTTTATGTATCTTTCATACAAATCATGCATTTGTAGTGATTAATCATTTTTAAATTCATTTATTAAAGTAAAGGGAGAAAATCAAATTTGAACTTAGTTCCATTGCATGATACATCTGATACTTTTGTTAAGTATAAGTTACAAATAATACATGATGGTCTTGGAGTATATAGTCTAGATTCTGACGTTGTTTACCATTATAATAGCGTGTTAATGCTCCCCATTTTTGTCCTTGTATATAATTTAACCTTTACTGTTTTGAAACCGAATTGATACGATACGCAAGGGCTTATATTTCCGATCATGATTTCCTTGATAGAGCGTTGCTGCTCACAAGGAAGCTATTAAAACAAACGTTCCAAGTTGTGAAGTTGAAATCATCACTTCGTTAATTTCACGGACGTCATCACGAGTTGGGTGACCGTTACAGAATATCCGTTTTACAGATGATAGCGATATGTTCCTAATGTCGTAACTACAATCCCGTCCTCTTTTCCCGAATGTGACCTACCGAATTAGACTAATTACCGGGTTTGAACTAACATGAGCAACACGATGGATGCAACATGTGGAGCAGGATCTGCTTACCCTTCCGGAGCAGCTGAGATCACCCCCAGTTTTGGTAGGGTTCGTGTTGCTCAGTCTTTAGTTTTCTATGTTGTGTTTTGTGTAATATTGTTTGACTGTTGGTCTTTTTCATTTTAACGATGGCGTTGCCAGTTTATTTTCGACTTATGAGTTTGAATGTCTCTTCGGTATCTTTTGCCTCTCTTTTTCAGTGAGAGGCTTAGCTAGCTATAAAATCAGGTTAATCCACAATTTCTGCATAAGGAAAATGCATGTTCCAAGTCAGGAGTATGACAGTTGTTTTCCATTCATTAGATATATTTGCGTTTTTAATTATGCCATTTCATAAAGGACTTTCAGTTTTGAATTTTCCTTCGAGTTCGGTATTTTTGCTATTTTACTTCTTGTTAGTCCGAATTGCGTTATACTGTATGGGTTTTATAGGTCGTATGGTGACCTGTAGTTGTTCACACTTGTGTCCTTGTGGTCTTTATGGATCGTTATCACTGGCAGTCATATCACATCTTTTTATTTGCATGTTTTGTACATAAATTTCAAACTGGATAGAAAAATCGTTGTAATTTCTCAACCAGATCACATTAAAACACGAAACATAAATTGCAAACATCATTAATGTGTGCAGCAGAGACACACATCGTTAATGTGTGACGGCTTTTCATTTGAGCAATGTTCATATAAAATACAAAACAATGTAACAAAGGGAGATAATAGCATAACAGATAGAGGCTGATATCCTCTTTTCAATTAGCAATATAAAGAAGGTAGTTTTAACGCATTTAAAAACAATTACTAGTATATGTCGAAATATTTATTTCACTATAAGGATAAAACTGAGTTTTAAATGGTAATTTCAAATCTTTTTTTTTAAAGATACCAACAGTTCCGTGGACTATCAAAATCTATATACATTAACATTAAACTTTATACCTTGCTTCTTGTTAGACACAGATGACCTGTCGCTTCTAGCAGACACAGATGTTCTGTCGCTTCTCGCAGAATTTGTAGCCATCACGAAAGAATGTTAACCCATTGCTCTGAAAAAGAAAAAAGAAAAACAGAAATTTTATGAAAATGATCTAAACAATTCATTACGTTTCCGGAAAAATTTGTGAAAAAGTTGCTAGCATTGATCTTAACAAATTCACTGTTGAATTTTCTCTGAACATAAAAAATAACTTTTTTTTGCACTGTTGAAAATAATAATGATTTTTATACCTCTATTCAACAGACAGGTTCAGTATATCAAAGTTTCAAGCACATATTGCATGATTGGGCTCTATGTAATTCCATTTTATTTCTGAGTCTTGAGGATTTTGCAGGTACCAAATAAGAAAATCGCACAGAATTATAAATGGCAGTAAGCTCTAATGTATGAGTTTCTGCTCTTTAAGGAAGATATCAAACCAAGAATTCTAAGTAGTTAAGTTGAATTCATACTCTGAAAATTTAACAGATGCCATCAAACGTTGGTTGACCATCTTTCACAGATGACGATAGATGTGTTCCAATTGTTATAACCCCATTCTCGTCCTTTTTTCTTTAATTGTGATCTACTAAATTAGATTTATCACCAGGTTTGTACTTACTTGAGCAACACAACAGGTACCACTAGGGGAGCAGGGTCTGATTACCCTGCTTCCAGAGCACCTGAGATCACCAATGTTTACTTATGAGTGCTGTCTAAAATTTTACAGTCATTTTTTTTAATATTAGGCTTTTGCATATCTGGGGTAAAATAGAAAATGTTAAAACTTAAAATAATTTAATTATTAGTGAATTGGTTGCTTTATTTTCCATCTTTCTCATATTCTATGTGTTGAATTTGAAACCTTGCAAACAATATTTTCATCCAGGAGACAAAACAGATAACTGGTTAGATTAGTACACCTCTTCCGAACTCCAATGACTTTATTAAAAGTCTTTCAACATTGAATGGAAGTCATATCTCAAACTAAAAGAACCAAATTGATTAATCAAAGTAGGTGAAAGTAATATGTGTAAAAATATAAACTTTTTGATTGGCAATCATGATATTTTTAAAAAGTGTTTTATTTGATATCCAGCTTGAAAAATGGATCTTTTTTTAATTCAGGTCTTTTGTACTTGGGGTTTTCAATTCCATGCGGAAAATGCAACTAACTCACTGTAACAAGATTACAGTCACATGCATACAAACATGACTATATGTACTAAAAGGCCACATTTTAGAATCTGTCAACAAAGCAAAATATCTTGGTATCACTTTATCCAACAACATGTCATAGGATACCCATATTAAGAACATCACTGCTGAAGCAAATATATCGTCGGCTTTGAGGAAACTTAAAAATAAATTATGAAGAATAAAAACTTTGGATTTCAAATCTATGGTTGTACGATAAAACCTAGAATAATGCTCTTCAGTGTGGTCTCCTTACACCTACAAACAAAAAATAACATTGAAAAAGTACAAAAAAAAGGCAGTTAGTATGCTACGTCACCAAC